AGGTTCCATACCTCAAAAGGAAAGTTGAGATTGATTTTGGGGGTTATGACCGTAACTGCTAGGAAAAATGGGCTAAAAACAACACTTTTGTAATACTTTGTATAAATTGCTTATTTCTTGACCAATTTCAATGGGCTTTAATTCAAAGTCTTGAATTCTTTGGGTTCTCTAATATGCTGAATCCAACCATGTAATTAGATTTTAAGATTTTGAGGGCCGTTTTTACATTGGTCCACATGTAGGTCCAAAGGGTCCAAAATTAAAATTAGTTTGATTTTAACAAAAGTTGATTTAAATGGGTTCTTTGATATGCTGAATCTTAACATGTATTTAGTTTTTATACGACCGCAAAAAAATTTTTGTGGTCGTATATTGGTATGACGTTGGCGTCGTCGTTGTCGTCGTCGTCGTCGTCGTCGTCCGGCGTCGTCGTCCGAATACACATTAGTTTTCGCATTCTAACTTTAGTTTAAGTGAATGGATCTCAATGAAATTTTACCATAAGGTTCAATACCACAAAAGGAAGGTGGGGATTGATTTTGGGGGTTATGGTACTAACAGTTAAGGAATTAGGGGCCAAAAAGGGGCCAAAAATAAGCATTTTTGTAACTTCCAGACATAACTTGTGTGTAAGTATATGGATCTCTCTGACATTGTACCACAAGGTTCCATATCACAAAGGGAATGCTGGGATTGATTTTGAGGGTAATTGCCTCCAAATTTTAGGAATTAGGGGCCAAAAAGGGGCAAAAAACAAGCATTTTTCTAGTTTCATGACAATAACTTGTGTGTAAGTGTATGGATCTCTCTGACATTGTATCACAAGGTTCCATATCACAAAGGGAATACTGGGATTGATTTTTGGGGGTAATTTCCTCCAAATTTTGGGAATTAGGGGCCAAAAAGGGGCAAAAAACAAGCATTTTTCTAGTTTCAAGACAATAACTTGTTTGTAAGTGTATGGATCTTTATGAAATTGTACTGCAAGGTTCCATATCACAAAGGGAAAGCTGGGTTGGAGTTTGGGGGTAATTGCCCTAAACGTTTAGGAATTAGGGGCCAAAAAGGGACAAAAAAACAAGCATTTTTCTAGTTTCCAGACAATAACTTGTGTTCAAGTGAATGGATCTCTCTAAAATTGTACTGCAAGGTACCATACCACAAAGGGAAAGCTGGGATTGAGTGTGGGGGCGATGAATCATAAGGGGGTTCAAAAAATTTGGGGGGGGGATTTTTTTTTCCTTTTTTTTCTTTAAAATTTTCCATTTTAAATTGGTTATTTCTGATTTATATATAAAAGCAAATAATAATGATATGGTTTGAATAGCATACATGTGAACCTCCCGACAGGAGTACAATAATCCTGTTTTCAGGAGTCTCCTCCCGACCTCCGGTTGAAGAGGAAAATTATAATCCCGTGTATGAAATTTTTCATGAATGAAAAATTTCTGCCCAACATATCATCTCAGGCATCTGGTGTAACTCACATTACCTGAAGTTATATTTTACCTGTAAATCAATTAACATGCATAATTATATGGCTTCACTTGTCAGCTTGGGTGTCAAACATACTGGTAATCAATGATTTTTTACCTCAGGCTAACTGCTGTTGTGTAACAAAAACTGTGTATTTATTGGGTTACTTCCCTTGATTTATCCTGTTTTAAGTTACTTTCCTTTTAATAATGAAAATTTTTAAAAGAATATAAATAAAATATAAATTGAACAAATAATCATAAAAGGATGGTAAATAAATGATTTTAAATGTCTTAGGACAAATAAAAAAATAATAATTTGAAAATTATTTGAGGATTCTATACTTCCTTTCAAGGCTTAAATTGAAATTTATATATTAACTATGACCCTTGTTTTACAGTTAGAATGATTTTCTGAGTATGCAAACAAAAGCTATTTGCAGATGGTTAAACAAATGTTCTGGTTGCAATAAATGTTTTATAGAATATGAAGTAAGAAATTTAAAGAACATACTGAAAAAAAAAAATGTTAGATTGAACATGTAAAATATAAAGATGGAGAAACTTTATAAGTACAAGGGTACTATAAACATAATAAATTGGATGGAAAGTTGAAGAAAACACACTTTAAAAGACCATTTTTACAGCACACGGTTACATTTACGACAAATTTATGTCGATTAAAAACCTCCTGATCTGAGTCCTAATCTCCTGATCTGAGTTTCACAGTCCATCACATGTATGAATAGGTAAATTAAAAAATTATAAGTTCTTAGACCACTTTCATTCTGTGTCAGAAACCTATGCTGTGTCAAATATTTAATTACAATCCAAATTCAGTGCTGTATCAAGCTTGAATGTTGTGTCCATACTTGCCCCAACTGTTCAGGGTTTGACCTCTGCGGTCGTATCAAGCTGCGCCCCAGCGGAGCATTTTATTTGATTTTGTACACGATTTTCAAGTTGGTCCAAATCAGGGTCCAAATTTAACTTTGTTTGATTCAACAAAAATTGATTCAATGGGTTCTTTAATGTGCTGAATCTAACCATGTATTTAGATTTTGGATGTTGGGCCTCGTTATCAAATTGGTACGCATTGAGGTCCAAAGGGTCCAAAATTAAACTTTGTATGATTTCATCGAAAATTGAATTCTAGGGGTTCTTATAATAACCATGTATTTAGATTTTGGATATTGGACCATAATAGATAGATATCCAATTTCAAATGTTTGAATTCTTTTATTTATTGGGAACCGATACTATATTTACTAGAAAACTTTTTTGTTCGCTATGGAGACTCCGTATATCGTCAAGTTATTGGAATTCCAATGGGGACTAACAGTGCACCACTTGTTGCGGACCTGTTTCTGTATTGTTATGAGTTACAATTTATGACTTAAATCAGCAAAGACCCATAGAAACAACATCTATTACAAAAATTTAAAAACACTTTTAGATATTTGGATGATATATTGGCTCTCAATAATGACGACTTCATTATGTACACTTAAGAGATTTATCCTGTTGAACTGACTTTAAACAAAGCTAATACTAACAATGAACACTGCCCTTTTCTGGATCTTGATATCTATATCTTTAACGGGAAGCTTAAAACCAAAAGTTATGATAAAAGAGATGATTTTTCATTTCCTATTGTTATTTATTCATTTTTAGATGGTGACGTTCCCTTGTCACCATCTTATGGTGTTTATATATCTCAGCTTGTTTGATTAGCTCGTGTATGTAACAACGTATTTGATTTTAATGAAAGAAATCTCTGTATTACTGAAAAATTATTACACCAGGGTTTTCGATATCACAAACTAGTCAAAAAATTTACTAAATTTTATCATCGGTACAAGGACATCATTCGTAAATAGAAATCATCATGCAGACATCTTTTACATTCAGGTATTTCACATCCAATCTTTTATGGGAATATTCTATACAAAGCACAAAAATGTCGTCATTCACCTCAAAAGCTAACCAAACCTTTAAACAGACTTAGTCAGAAGGGATATAGTTACGATACTGTTGTCAAGTCATTAAGGATTGCATATTTTGGTTTTAATATTGATTCACTGATAGGGTCTTTGCATCGGAAATAAACACATTTATTCTAAAACCAGTTGTTGGCATGATATGAATTATGTTCTTCTCATATTTATTTTATGAGGGTATGATACTAAACCCCTAACGGGAGGGATTGTGCTTGATTTTCATACGATGAAGACATAATCTTTCAATCAGTTTAATTGAGGTCTGGAGCTAGCATGTCAGTAACTTTATGTATCATTGTCATTTTGCTTAGTTTAGGAATTAGGGGGCAAAAAAGGGGCAAAAACAAATATTTTTCTAGTTTCATGACAATAACTTGTGTGTAAGTCTATGGATCTTTCTGAAATTGTACTACAAGGTTCCATATCACAAAGGGAAAGCTGGAATTGAGTTTGAGGGTAATTGCCCAAAACGTTTAGGAATAAGGGGCCAAAAAGGGGCCAAAAATAAGCATTTTTCTAGTTTCCAGACAATAACTTATGTTCAAGTGTATGGATCTCTCTGAAATTGTACTGCAAGGTTCCATATCACAAAGGGAATGCTTGGATTGATTTTGGGGGTAATTGCCTCAAAATATTAGGAATTAGGGGGCAAAAAAGGGGCAAAAACAAGCATTTTTCTAGTTTCATGACAATAACTTGTGTGTAAGTGTATGGATCTTTATGAAATTGTACTGCAAGGTTCCATATCACAAACGGAAAGCTGGGTTTGAGGTTGGGGTTAATTGCCCTAAACTTTTAGGAATTTGGGGCCAAAAAGGGGCCAAAAAACAAGCATTTTTCTAGTTTCCAGACAATAACTTGTGTTCAAGTGTATGGATCTCTCTGAAATTGTACTGCAAGGTACCATACCACAAAGGGAAGGCTGGGATTGAGTTTGGGGGTGATGAATCATAAGGGGGTTCAAAAAATTGGAGGGGGGGGGGGGGTTTTTTCATTTTTTTTTCTTTAAAATTTTCCATTTTAAATTGGTTATTTCTGATTTATATATAAAAGCAAATAATAATGATATGGTTTGAATAGGTAAATTAAAATTTTCTAAGTTCTTAGACCACTTTCATTCTGTGTCAGAAACCTATGCTGTGTCAAATATTTAATTACAATCCAAATTAAGTGCTGTATCAAGCTTGAATGTTGTGTCCATACTTGCCCCAACTGTTCAGGGTTCGACCTCTGCGGTTGTATCAAGCTGTGCCCCAGCCGAGCATTTTATTGAAATTGTACTGCAAGGTTCCATATCACAAAGGGAAAGCTGGGTTTGAGTTATGGTAATTGCCCTAAATGTTTAGGAATTTGGGGCAAAAAAGGGGCAAAAAAACAAGCATTTTTCTAGTTTCCAGACAATAACTTGTGTTCAAGTGTATGGATCTCTCTGAAATTGTACTGCAAGGTACCATACCACAAAGGGAAGGCTGGAATTGAGTTTTGGGGTGATGAATCATAAGGGGGTTCGAAAAATAGGGGGGGGTTTCCTTTTTAAATTGGTTATTTCTGATTTATATATAAAAGCAAATAATTATGATATGGTTTGAATAGGTAAATTAAAAAATTTTAAGTTCTTAGACCACATTCATTCTGTGTCAGAAACCTATGCTGTGTCAAATATTTAATCACAATCCAAATTCTGTGCTGTATCAAGCTTGAATTTTGTGTCCATACTTGCCCCAACTTCAGAGTTCGACCTCTGCGGTCGTATCAAGCTGCGCCCAGCGGAGCATTTTTTTTAATTTTAATTCATTTATATGTTTCGGAGTTTTGTGTGACATCCATTTTCACTGAACTAGTACACATTTTTGTTTAGGGGCCAACTGAAGCCCGCCTCCGGGTGCTGGATTTTCTCGCTGTGTTGAAGACCCATTGGTGGCCTTAGGCTGTTTTCTGCTCTTTGGTCGGGTTGTTGTCTCTTTGACACATTCCCCATTTCCATTCTCAATTTTATTTCAAATATTTATTCAAAAATCCAATGTTAGAGCTGTATTGCACAAATAATAGAAATTGTTAGTAGATTCATAGTTAAAAATAGATATAGCATCAAATTCTAATTTTAGAAATTATGTATAAATATAGTTTGAAATTTGCTGTTTATTATTAGATATTTTGAAAGATAATTAAAGCTAAAAGGTTAGTTTTATAGATTTTTTGAAGACATTGTGGAAATTGTTTTTTTTCATTTTTTTTTTTGTAATTTTTTTTGAAGAACTACATAGTAGGTTTGTTTGTTATTCTGTATAAATTAATTTTCAGACTGCTTTATTATATTTTGTTTTGTTTTGAAGAAGTGAACCCCTTTAAAAACTTAGCTAATACTGTCCATTAATAAATAAATAAATACAATTATTGGTGTAAATGGATATGCTGAATCTAACCATGTATTTAGATTTTGGATATTGGACCATAATAGGTGAAGTCCATTTCAAATTTTTCAGTTCTTTGACCACATTCATTCTGTGTCAGAAAACTATGCTGTATCAAATACTTAATCACAATCCAAACTCAGAGCTGTATTAAGCTTGAATGTACTTGCCCCAACTGTTCAGGGTTCGACGGTCGTATCAAGCTGCACCCCATCGAGCACTTTATTTAGACATCATTAACTTGCTCAAACCTACATGGAATTTTAAGAAATTTGGACACAAGCTTGTTTTTGAACAAAATACAGTATCCAGAGCAAAATTTTGAAAAAAATTATTTTCATTTTTCCGTATTTTACTGATAAATGGATTTAATTTTTATACGACCGCAAAAAAATTTTTGTGGTCGTATATTGGTATGACGTTGGCGTCGTCGTTGTCCCAAGACGCATTAGTTTTCGCACTCTAACTTTAGTTTAAGTGAATGGATCTCTATGAAATTTTACCATAAGGTTCAATACCACAAAAGGAAGGTGGGGATTGATTTTGGGGGTTATGGTACCAACAGTTAAGGAATTAGGGGCCAAAAAAAGCTTTTTCTAGTTTCCAGACAATAACTGTGGAACGGTGTATGGATCTCTCTGAAATTATACTACAAGTTTCCTTACCACAAAGGGATGGTAAGGATTTGCTTTGGGGGGTTATGGCTCAAACCGTTTAAGAATTAGAGGCAAAAAAGGGGGAAAAACAAGGTTGTCCTGGTTAATGGACAAATACTTTAGTACAAAACATAATTTAAAGCAGTGTAAGGGAGATAAATCAAATACATCATTGAAATTATCTCCCTTACACTGCTTTTAAATTATGTATAAAGTAATGGTTAATGAACAATTAAGATAATTTAAAACAGTGTAAGGGAGGTAATCCAAATACAACGTTTTGGTTACTTCCCTTACACTGCTTTTAAATTATGTTTAAAGAAATGCATATTTATAAAGGAAGACCAGTAAAAATATCTGCAAATGTTGCATCTTTTTTTTTTTACAAAAAAATCAATATGAAAGATTTGACACTATATTTTAAATTCTATTATAAAATAGATTAAGTTAGCACTATGGTAAATTTAAATGGGTAATTATGGTTGCCAACTCCATTGGAAATTTGAATTGAGATTATGACCATATCTTGAGGGAAAGAATTTTTTTGGGGAAAAAAGGGGGGGGGGGGTAAAAAGAAATTGTGGGGGGTCAATTTTTTCTCATTTCAGATATCAGAAATTAAAAAGAATTATTCTTCAAATATTATTTTTTTTTCAAATTTCAAATATTGAAAAATTTCAAGAAGTAATCTTTAATTGCACAGTATGGCGCATTAGATTTGTAAGATCTTTGACCACATTTATTTATTTTTTATGCCGAATCTAACCGTGTATTTAGATTTTTAATTTTGGGTCCAGTTTTCAAATTGGTCTACTTTGTTTGATTTTAACAAAAATTGAATATATGGGGTTCTTTGATATGCTGAATCTAAACATGTATTTAGATTTTTGATTTTTGGCCCAGTTTTCAAGTTGGTCCAAATTGGGGTCCAAAATTAAACTTTGTTTGATTTCAACAAAAATTGAATATATGGGGTTCTTTGATATGCTGAATCTAACCATGTATTTAGATTTTTTATTTGTGGACCCCGCTATCAAATTGGTCCATATTGAGGTCAAAAGGGTCCAAAATTAAACTTTGTTTGATTTCATCAAAAATTGAATTATTGGGGTTCTTTGATATGCCAAATCTAGCCGTGTATTTAGATTTTTAATTTTGGGTCCCGTTTTTTAAATTGGTCTACATTAAGGTCCAAAGGGTCCAAAATTAAACTTAGTTTGATTTTAACAAAAATTGAATTCTTGGGGTTCTTTGATATGCTGAATCTAAACATATGGTTAGATTTTTGATTATGGGCCCAGTTTTCAAGTTGGTCCAAGTTGGGGTCCAAAATTAAACTTTGTTTGATTTCAACAAAAATTGAATATATGGGGTTCTTTGATATGCTGAATCTAAACATGTTTTAGATTTTAGATTTTTGGCCCAGTTTTCAAGTTGGTCCAAATTGGGGTCCAAAATTAAACTTTGTTTGATTTCAACAAAAATTGAATATATGGGGTTCTTTGATATGCTGAATCTTACCATGTATTTAGATTTTTTATTTGTGGGCCCGCTATCAAATTGGTTCATATTGAGGTCGAAAGGGTCCAAAATTAGACTTTGTTTGATTTCATCAAAAATTGAATTATTGGGGTTCTTTGATATGCCAAATCTAACCGTGTTTTTAGATTTTTAATTTTGGGTCCCGTTTTTTAAATTGGTCTACATTAAGGTCCAAAGGGTCCAAAATTAAACTTAGTTTGATTTTAACAAAAATTGAATTCTTGGGGTACTTTGATATGCTGAATCTAAACATGTGTTTAGATTTTTGATTATGGGACCAGTTTTCAAGTTTGTCCAAGTTGGGGTCCAAAATTAAACTTTGTTTGATTTCAACAAAATTGAATATATGGGGTTCTTTGATATGCTGAATCTAACCATGTATTTTGATTTTGGACATTGGACCATAATAGGTAAATTAAAAAAATTGAAGTTCTTAGACCACATTCTTTCTGTATCAGAAACCTATGCTGTGTCAAATATTTAATCACAATCCAAATTCAGAGCTGTATCAAGCTTGAATGTTGTGTCCATACTTGCCCCAACTGTTCAGGGTTCGACCTCTGCGGTCGTAACAAGCTGCGCCCAGCGAAGCATTTTATTTTTACAGTTAACACTCAGGCTCAGTCTGAGGTTATTAATTATAATGTTTGAAGCAAACTTTTCAAAAATATTTTTTTTTCATTTTCAGTATTTTTCTGATAGATGGGCATAGTTTTTCACAGTTAACATTTACAGACAGTTTGGGATTAAATTTTGTTGGCATGATAAATTTATAAACCTTCATGAATTGTTATGAAACTTGGACAGAATCTATCTTCAAGACCAAGAAATAGCATCTATAAAAAAATTTGATTTTTTTTTATAAATTCAGTATTTTACTGATAAATGGACTCACTTTTTAAATCAACATTACACTTTTACACTGACAGCAGCAATCGCAGGTGAGACACATGTATAACCGCTTATGAATATTTGTTCTCATACAGTCGTCTCAGGCCCAAATCTTATTTATATTTTGTCATTTGCCATAACTTTTTCAAAATTACTCCTTTGAACTAGACAGCCAATTGAAACAAAATTTGTTTGTTTACTGAAAATTGGATATTATGCACAAACTCTCAACCTATATTGCAATCACCTTATCCATTCATTATCTGTCAGTCACTAAAAATGTTTTGGTTGCATTTTTCTCAGAAACTCCAAGTTTCCTGAAACTTGGTATCAAGCTTCATATATTTGTCCTATTCATCACTCATTCACTTCCTGTTCACTGAAATACTTCTCTTGCACATAATAGGCATGCATAGAAATTTTGTCACATTTTTCTCGGGATCTACATAACAGAGCTCCCTAAAATTTGGCATCAAGCTTCACAATAGTATGCTTTAGTATGTGATGCATTTTCAGATTTAATGCTCATTCACTTTCTGTTGAACGAATACTTATATATTCTTATATATAATGGCCATGTATAAAATTTTGTCTCATTTTTCTCAGGAACTTCAAATCAAGGCTTTCTGAAATTTAAAATTAACTTTCATGAGAACATGCTATACAGTGTAATGCGTTTTTACATCCATCACTCATCATCTTCCTGTTAACAAATAGCTTATAGCGGGGTTATCGTTAATGAGCAATAGCTCACAGTTCACTTTGTTGTACATCAGTTTGAGTCATTGGAAGTTTTTAATATAAACATGAGTAAACACAGAATATCTTGTTTTTCCACAGGTAATTCATTGGCATGAAACTCTGAAAATTCCAAGAGAAGCTAACTTATCACAGGCAGCAACTAATCTAATATTGAGACTTTGTTGTGGAGCATCAGAACGTGCATTTGTGGACGAAATCAAACAGCATCCATTTTTTAATTCAATATGTTTTGAAGGACTTCGTCACAAAACTCCACCTTATAAACCTCAGATCAAATATGCAACAGACACATCTAACTTTGATGATATAGACCCTGACAAAATAAGAGGTAGTGACTCAGAAGATGAGATTAAAAAACCTGATCACCCAGTCAATGGCAAGCACCCAGAACATGCATTCTTTGAGTTCACATTCCGCAGGTTCTTTGATGATGGAGGACATCCTTACCCGGTCAAAGAATCAGACAATCAACAAGAACAAACCAAGACTAATGAATCAAATGCACCTGTTTATGTTTGATGTATAACATGCAGAACTAAGTCATTTGCTCTTTATTATTTAAGTATATATATTTAAATGCAGTAAAATTTTAAATTATCTTACATTACTTTTTAATTAATCAATCAAGACAATATATTTAGGTTAGACAAACTATATTTGCTAAGAAAAATGATAATTATTCTTGAAAATTTATTCAAAGCAAAATTATCTTTGATGCATTATTATAGTGCCGCTATACATTTTAAGTTACCCCTGTCAGTCTGTCCACCAACCCACCCACATATAAGTTTATGGTTTGTCTATGAAACCTTTTGCACAGTTAGAGGGAAGAAATTTTTTGTTTTGTAGAACAGATATACATGTACTGAAAATGTGGATCTGGACAGGATTTTAATGTCCAGTTTTTCACAAAATTACCTGATTATCAAAACGGTAGTATTTATTCTTCCATAGGCGACAATACTAACATTTTCTAAATTTACCACTTTTTATAATAAAAACCTGGATAAAACAGTTATGTGTAGTATTAGTACTTTATTATTCTGTTTAAGAAATTGCAGTCAAATGGTATCATGACCATCTTTGAACAGAGCTTGTTTATGGTATCCATTCCCATTGTCATTTCTCATCTAATTTATAAAAACGGCAGTGTGTATATTTACAATATAAATTTTGAAACACATTGAAATATTTTCTTGAGAGAATTATTCGAAAAGGCTTCCAAATTTTCATAAATTTGATATAAAATAATAACGGTGGGCATGGATACCATAAACAAGCTTCGTACGAAGATGGTTATGATTCCATTTGACTTCAACTTCTAACACAGAATAATAAAGTTTTTTATATCACACATAACTGCTTTTTACAGGTTTTTGTAGAGCCTGCGACATCTATGTTGCAAAAGCGAGACATAACAATCCTAGATTCCTCCATTAGCGGCATCAACATTTAGGTTCAGTCTGTGGTTAAAGTTTTTTTAGACATCAATAACTTTGTCAAACCTTCATGGAATTTTATGAAATTTGGACAGAAGCTTTTTTTGGCCAAAATATAGTATCCAGAGCATAATTATGCCCCTGTCGTAGCGGAGGGGGCATTAAGTTTTACCCTTGTTCGTCTGTTCATCCATATGGTCCATACGTCCCGAAATTTGTTTCCGTTCTCTAACATTAGTTAGCCTGAACCAAATGTTTTGAAACACATACACAATGCTTATAACCACAAAACACAGATAAAGTTTGAATTTTGGTGGCGTCACTCTTACTGTTTTAGAGTTATGCCCCTTTACAAATGGAAAAATTGCTGAATTTTTCGTTTCCGTTCTCTAATTAAAGTTTGCCTCAATCAAACGTTATGAATCTTATACACAATTCTTATTACCACAATACAAAGATCAAGTTTGAGTTTTGGTGGCGTCACTTTTGTCTTTCTAGAGTTATGCCCCTTTACAAATGGAATAAACTGCTTCGCCGAGCACAGCTGGATACGACCTCAGAGGTCCAACCTTGAACAGTTGGGGCAAAAATGGACACAATATTCAAGCTTGATACAGGTCTGAATTTGGATTGTAATTAAATATTTGACACATCATAGTTTTCTGACATAGAATAAACTAGAAAAATGCTTGTTTGACCCCTTTTTGGCCCCCTAATTCCTGAATGGTTTGGGCAATTACCCCCAAAATGAATCCCAACCTTCTACTTGTGGTATTGAACCTTGTGGTACAATTTCAGAGCAATCAAAATACTTATACACAAGTAATTGTCCTGAAACTAGAAAAATGCTTGTTTTTTGGCCCCTTATTCCTAAAAGGTTGGGACCATCACCCCCAAAAACAATCCCAACCTTCCTTTTGTGGTATTGAACCTTTTGGTTAAATTTCATAGACAGAAAACTCTGGCATATTTTCTATTTACAATATATTATCTATATTAAAGCCAGCAAAATTTCCGGTGCTGGCAATATAGTTCATTTGATATTTTGCCGGTTCTTTGTAAAGTCCTGTAAAGAGTGAACTTGAATGCCAAATCGACCAAGACCAAATAGCCCCCCTTTTTCACCAACTCGCCCTACTCTGCTTTGCCAACTAGCCCCACTTATGAAAAAGGGTCAAATCGCATTGAATTTAGTCCTGCCAACTCGCCCCACTTATGAAAAAAGGTAAAATCCCGTAAACTGGTCCGCCATTCCATCTAATTCTCTGCACCGAAGCGTAAGTGAACACAACAGGGGTCCAGTTTAAAAATCCCACTTATGAATAAGAGTTTAATGAAGATCAATAAAGGTCTGCTAACTCGCCCCACTAATGAAAAAAAGAATTAAATCATACTGCATTAAAGACTACCAACTCAACCCACTTATGAAAAGGAGTTTAATCACTATATGCCAACTCGCCCCACTTATAAAAAAAAGAATTAAATCTTGCTGCTTAAAGGACTACCAACTCGCCCCACTTATGAAAAGGAGTTTAATCCCATTGAAAAGGTCTGCCAACTCGCCCCACTTACACGACAGTTGTTTTCCATTCGTTTGAGGTGTTTGAGATTTTGATGTTGCCATTTGATAAAGGACTTTCCGTTTTGAATTTTCCTTGGAGTTCGGTATTTTTGTTAATTTACTTTTTACAAGATAAGTCAAGAATCATAGGTGTTTACATAATTTTATTCTCAGATGATAAGTTTGCACATACACATAAGTATGCATAACAATAATATTCAAAAACAAACATACATAAAATCAATTATGAAGACATGGTTGTGGTTAGTCTTGCCACATGTGAAAGTATAACCCGTCTGCTTAACTGTGGCTGTACATATACTCTTTTTTATAAGTGGGCCGAGTTGGCGGGACTAAATTCATCGGGATTTTACTCCTTTTCATAAGTGGGGCAAGTTGTCAGGACTCAATTCATCGGGATTTTACTGTTTTTCAAAAGTGGGGAGAGTTATCAGGACTAAATTCAACAGGATTAAACCCTTTCTCTTAAGTGGGGCGAGTTGGTAAGACTAAATTCAACGGAATTTTACCCTTTTCATAAGTTGGGCGAGTTGGTGGAAAAGTTGGGCGATTTGGCAGTGGGGCGAGTTGTCTTGCTTCCGTCAACATAAAAGAATCAAAATTGAAATTATTACTCATAATTTTAAAAATAAGATAATAGTAACAATATTTGAGATACATATACAAGTAATCGTTTAAAACATGAGTCGAAATAAAAATATTGAACATCCATTTGTAGAAATGAAATCATAATAAGACATATATATGTTTTGGAGTTTATGTGACGTCCATTTTCATTGAACTAGTACACATTTTTGTTTAGGGGCCAGCTGAAGCCCACCTCCGTGTGCGGGATTTTCTTGCTGTGTTGAAGACCCATTGGTGGCCTTCAGCTGTTTTGTGCTTTTTGGTCGGGTTGTTGTCTTTTTGACACATTCCCCATTTCCATTCTCAATTTTATGCAGTTGAAATTACCTCTAAAACCTGTCACAGTCTAATGCTACATGTATGGTGAGGGTACTCAAATTGCACCTATTTTGACAGTTTTGTCACCTACGTTTATTTACTATGTATAAGTTCCACCAATTTAATTTTGCAATCATATTGAATCATAGAAAAATGGGTTTGAACCGACCTACAAACAATCCATGATTCTGTAACTAGGAGTACCCAAATTCTGTCCATGCTTTAAATCACATCCATAAAAATTGAATAACTAATGTATTGTTTTATTTCTTCAAATATTTAAAACAATTTGACAAAAGTCCATGCTTACTATTAATTTTTAACCGGATTTTCGAAGGAAAAATCGGTTATTGATTTGGGGATGTACGGATGTATCAAATTTTGATATGTTGTTTCCTGTGACTAAAAGAAGGTCAAGTTCAATTTTCACGACTTTAGCTTTTTCGTTCTTGAATTTTGGACCCTTTTAGAAACCAGAAATTTACTTATAATGTGATTGAGTTATTTCCCTTTGGACAGAAATTAATAATTTTATGTATAGCTGAGATGTATAGTCTATCAATGATTGTATCTGTTTAATTAATTAGTCAGGGGTTGTCAAAAATTTATAACTATTTTTTTTTAAGTCATGTGTGTTTTGAAGGCAGATGTCACAGTTGTTATGTGTTTTTTTATTTTTGATGTGGTTGTTAATTTTTACTTGATCCTGTTTGGGTGTCCAGATTTGCAAATATCATTTTCATTTAAGGAATGACTGTAATATTTTTTCTGTCTATGAAGAAATAACATAATAAATGTGGTGCACACTGAATAACCCGCGTAGCGGGTTATTTTAAAGTGTGCACCACATTTTTTATGTTATTTCGAATAGACAGAAAAAATATTACAGTCATTTCTTATAATTTAATTCTAAATTCCATTTTAAACCGAAGTAAACCATGAAGAAACGTTGATGACGTCACGGTCACATGACAAAATTATGTCTATGAGCTGATAAACAAAACAACGTCAGCCAATCAGAAGACGCGTTACATCCCAAATCAAATTATTAGATAATAATCAATTTTTATTAAAGGATATATTTCATTACATTATATTGTGTAGATAAAGTTGTTGACATTGATAGATAAGTTGCAGATAAGATATTAGTTTGTGACAAATGAAAGAAAAAATATTGGGAACTATTAATTATATTTGATTATAATTTGAAAACATCATATCTAATTTAAGGGAACCATTTTTATACGACCGCAACATTTTGGTATATTGGTATGACGTTGGCGTCGTCGTCGTCGTCGTCGTCGTCCGAAGACACATTGGTTTTCGCACTCTAACTTTAGTTTAAGTGAATGGATCTCTATGAAATTTTACCATAAGGTTTAGTACCACAAAAGGAAGGTTGGGATTGATTTTGGGGGTTATGGTCCCAACAGTTAAGGAATTAGGGGCCAAAAATAAGCATTTTTGTAATTTCCAGACATACCCGGTTACTTGTGTGTTAGTGTATGGATCTCTCTGACATTGTACCACAAGGTTCCATATCACAAAGGGAATGCTGTGATTGATTTTTGGGTAATTGCCTCAAAATTTTAGGAATTAGGGGCCAAAAAAGGGGCTAAAACACAAGCATTTTTCT